TCGTTCAAGACGCTCTCACCGAAGACCAGAGAATGCAATGTCTTATTGGGTCGGTATTTGGACCCCCTCATGAGCGCCATCACTGCTACTGGATCGGTACCTTCGACAGGCTGTTGCTGAGGAGGGCAGGATGCTACTCACTGGAGATGAGAGCCCCAAATGTCATACAGTAACCCCGCAGGGCATCTGTATTCTTAAGGCCGACAAGCCAGGTAGTAGAGAACGTCCACAACCCTATGGACGTAACATAGGCCGATATGGTTGTGCCTATAGAGGTACTCGACTTGGATGATGAATTGACCGATTTATGGTACCGATGAACGCGAAGACTAATATTGATGTGAGATTGCTCATGAACATATCCGTGTTGAGCGAGAAACTGGCCTCGAATATAATCGGCGGTAACAGTGCCTATGGAGCTACCAGGCTGACCACCCCGAGTGAATCTAGCGTTTTACGAAATAGAACAGTTCCGCACTTATCCCTAATATCTCCTTACGGTCTCCTGCTCCTAGGAGCCTGATCACCTGATTATAGGACATACCCTGACCGGGGATTGAACCAGGGACCTACGACTCCCATGATAAACCCAATAATAACAGCTCCAGTCGACTGCGATATATGTCGAGACTTCCCCGTATTTATAAAGTACCTGAGGGCCTAGGGCTACATGTCAACGACAAGGAAGTTTATTACCCCCATACGAACGTCAGGAGCAATGCAGTTGAGAAGAGAATTGAATTTACCGACACTAAACTCTCATAGGCTGAGGTGTCGTTGTCAAGGCTGGACATGCTATGGCAAACTAAGCATCAGAGGTCGGCCCTCGTGTGATGCGATTCTAGTCTAGTGTACGTTAGTGATATGGATATATCCAAAACTGCTTCTCTTCTGGACTCCAGTAGAAGCAGAAAAAAGCAACTCTCCAGAATCTGGAGAGTTCCTTGTCGACAATGGTGACTTGCTCGTGCTACTCTCATGGACTTACAAGGTACTAAATTGGATGATACTGTTAAGGAAGTGCTGGTCGAAGGCTTCCGGAGGACTAGAACTCGATGCAGAACCGGACATAAGGATTCAATAGTTAGTGGAGATTGAGTGCAGACAGACGGTTGCATGCAGCGCGCGCCCCTAATTCTTGAGGCATGCCCCTATTTTTAAATTTTCCCCCTTAAATTTCAAGTTATGCCCTTATTTCTGTAAGTCAGTCCCGAAGCGCGAGGAAACGTTCAATCCACAGTTTCTGCTCACGGAGGCATTAATGCGATTGCGGGGACGTGTTGTGCTACAGACTCAGGTGCATGATCACTGAATATCCAAATATTTGTAATTTTTGGAACGTACTGAGACACTGCAGGCATCAAGACCGAGAATGTTCCGGAAATTCGAACGCAGGTTCCATTGAAACCTGTATTAAAAACCGCTCCAACTACTTCCGGATTCACACCGTTACTAAAATGTCTCATGTGGCACTGCCACAGTGACAATCTTCAAGATTTGTTGTGTTTCTTGAGGAATATGCAAGATTCGCCGAGTGCTCAAGATTGCCTTGGTCTACAGTGGCGCTTGGGCATATTCTCATGCGCGCCGCCCGCAAAAACTCTAAATCCGTCCTCGCGTATTTCTGTAATCACCCGCCATTTTTTGTCGGCATGCCAAACAAGAAAAATTTGCCATTTTTCTTGTCGGCTCGAACGTCGTGCATGCCAAACAATCCCTCTTCACGTCCGAATGGATCTGACTGCGGCTCGAACGTCTCCTCTCCTATGCGTCCTCAAATTGAGAAAAACTGTACTGTATAACTCACAAAGCGTATCCTCCACAGTTCACCCGAGCAGCAATTATGCCTAAGAATCAGAGTCTGCGGAAGCGGGACGCGGTACAAGCTCTGATGAAGATGGTCCATGATCGCCAGCTGTGCGTCTCCGTGACCGAGTTGCATATTATGCGAAGCCTGCGGCCGTCGAGCCGAGTGGCGGATTTGGCCTCTCGGTGGTGCAGTCTGATAAGATCGTGGGACGCTTTTCCTATATCATGAGCAATCCTACATTGTAGGATTGATTGTAATTATAGCCGGCAGTCGGTATTAAGTACGTACTGATGCATTCCTTTTATGGTGATAGTGTCATGTTGTGGTTGGTTCATATGCTTATCTGTAATCACCTGTAGTACTATTCAGGTAAAGATAATTATCTGTAATGCTGATACTATCTGAGTACTTCAATAGAGTAGCTACATTAGTTATAAGAATAATCATAGGCACAATCCGATTCGAGGCGGCAATCGTATTCAGACTCTACAGACTAAGGAGTTGATGACAAAGTGGAACACTTTGTGTCGATGGAGAACCAATGCTGCACGCTCTTGCGCACAGACCGTGTCTCACCGACATTAATAAGACCTATCCACTCCTGATGACGATCTGCCTTTGGTTTAAGTTGTTAATTAAATTTTCATCAATTATTATTCCATATTGTATGATTCAGATATTGCTTGCTCA